TAATGTTTAGAGAGATTGTATGAAGATTATATAACTCATATAACTCTCAAAAAGTGAAACGAAAGTAATTAGAAGGTGACTTGAAGATGCATTGTTTTTCATGCAAGAAACAAAGCAAGACACGATGAGATTATTTCAAAATACATAGATTTATTTCAAAATAATGAAGCACAATCCATCTAGCAAGCAAAGATAGCTCTTTCAAAGTAAGGAAATTATATTGGAAGACAATTATGCGCATGTTGATCCAAAATTGTTTATTTAGGAATAAGTAAAGCTATTCTTAAATAAGCTATTCTTGAATAAACTATTCCAGAATAAGCTATTTTTGAACAAGTTGTTATGAGAGATATACTATGAATAGCATAGAGAGAAGGATATACTATTTCATAATAAGGCAAGGCTATTTTGAAATAAGCTACTTTAGAATAGGTAATGAGAGGATACTTGGTGATAAAGGGTTTTCAAAGAATAAGCTATTCAGGAATAGTAATACTTATTTCTAAATAAGGACCAAAATCACAAAAAGTGACAAAGGCTCTTAGAATTTGAATTTTGATTCTAAATTTATTTGAGATACCTTTCAAGCAATATAAGAAATTCTTAAAGAATTAAAATCAAGTCGAATACTTAATTCTAAGAGAGAAACAATTAAGAAGGAATATGATAGTTTTTTAAGTGTTTATTGGCTATTGGGAATAATGAGCTTATTTGGGAATAAGCATATCTATTTGGGAATAAGGCCAAAAGCTAGAATTTTAAAGCAATAAACATGAATTCTCTTACAAGTTATTAATATATATTTATTTATCTTGTAAAATACAAACCTCTCTTATTTTATTATCATGAAAACTAGGGTTCAACCATAAATAAATTTCAAAAGGTTATGTCACAATTAGGAAAATGGAACTAGAAACATAAAGTTATCAATAACAATTGTGATGATAATATCATGTGATCAAATGAGGATCTTATACACAAATATGTTGTGGAAAGTAGATGAAAAACTAATTGGCCAAATAAAATAAAAAAGGAAAGTGATGCAATATGAGTAGAATTACATTTAAATATATAAAAATCATGGACTTGTAGTGCAAACATATAAAGTGTAAAATTATTTTGAATAATATTAATGTGAAAATTATTATGAGATATATGAACATTAATGTGAAAATAAGGATTTTCACAATGGTCTAATAATGATATGACCAAATATGTTTTCTTGTGGTGGATTTTTTGTATGTATTAATAGTTTGGCAATATATGAAGTTGAAATAATGCATCTATTATATATTATTATAGTATATACTTATGGCTCAGTAAATAATAAAATTTACATGAAAATCCTCAACAGACAAAAAAAAAAGCCTATAGTATGATCAAGACAATTATTTGTTATGCTATGTAGATTTAAATAGTTAAAGTAGTCTCTCTCTCTCTCTCTCTCTCTCTCTCTATGTGCGCGCGCACAATTGTGTGTGCGTGCAATTAACTTATCAACCATGCATTGAAAATCAATGTATAATTTTGCATTTTACTTTGCTATAGTAAATGAATGGATATTGAAATGAAGGATTTTTGTAGTTCTACTGAAATAATTATATGAGATCATATTGTTCTGTAAACAAATTGAACATGTAAAGATACATAATATACCTTGATGATTTTTAGAATAAATTTTCTTTTATTATCTCCACAGTGCATAAGACTAACAAAGTATATACAGATAATTCAACATATCTAGAAAATATGTTAGAAGAATACGTATGATAAAAATGCATCATGTAACAACTACATATGAAAAATTAGTATTCTCTACTGAGATGCAATAACAGTAAGTGATGTTACTATCAGGGGGAGTTCAATTGATATCATTATCAGAAAGTAAAGTATATGTTGTACTTTTTTTTTAAATTAAGGTTATTTCCCATTGAATTTTTCTAATAAGGTTTTTCAATAAAGTTGCTTCATTATATATTGTGTACTTTTTTTCTTTTATTAGGTTTTGTTTCCTATTGGGTTTTTCCTAATAAAGTTTTAATAAGGCATAGTATTTGTTTATAAACATCTTGGGAGAGTGTCATAAATATTGTCATATAATTGTGGATATCTATAACCTTTCAAGAGTTGTCCTTTAACATTCTCCAATTAAAGCTAGATAACTTACAACATGAATGATCTATTGGGATTTTTCCATGATTAATACATATAACACCTAAATGTTTTATATTCTACCATTGTGTTGACTTATTCTATATTGTAACTCTTGTTATAGAATTTAAGGACATGATGCCTATAAATAGTGGGCATATACCAAGTGATTGTATGTTTGATGAAGTGAATAAGAGCTTCTTATTTTCTCCCTGTTTCTTTCTCTTATCTTCTTCATCTCCCTTTTCTCAATCTCTTGTATTTTCTCATTTTTATAACCATATTTTTATTTTAAACTATTTGTTTATATTTTTTCTAATAAGATATATTAAATTTTAGTTTAAAATGAGATAGTACAACTTTTAGTTCCTAAAATTTGTTTCAGTTATCGATTTAAGCATTCAAGTTTAATTCTTATCAATTTAATCTCTTAAGTTTACTTCAACTATCGATTTGGTCATTATTGTTTAAAAATGAGGTACTATTAACATCTGCTGACATGGATAATATAATATTGATGATAGTCTTACTGATTAATAAAAAGAAGTATAATTATTTAAGTAAAAAATAAATTTTGAAATTTTAAAAAACAAGAGAATAAAATATATTATAAGAGATTATATTGATAAAAATTAAACTAATTTAATGGTTAACTTGTTCTTACTTAACTACACACACACACACACACACACATATATCCCAAATCTTCAATATATATTACACATTAGATTAGTTTAAGAGTTAATTTGTGTTTTAAAACATAAAGGACACACATGATAATTTAAAAAACATAAGGGACCAAGTTGATACTCTATCTGCTAAAAAATATAAGGTATTTTTTGAAGAGTTGGATGTTAAAAAATATAAAATATTTTTAATCTTTTGAGGTGTAATTATTACCATTTTTTCAAAAATGTTCCTATTAATAATAATTTTATATTTATTGTAAGGTATTTAATAGGGGTTAATATAAAAAGATAGGGTTAGTTTGAAAGTAAATAACTATTTTATTGGGGGTGAAATTCAGTTAAAAATGCCTTACGTTTTTTAATAGAAGGAGTAAAAATTAGATTTGAGGGACCAAATCGATAATTGGGACAAACTTAATTGATTAAAAGTTTCATTACTGCTACTTTAAATTTGCTTTCAAAAATACTTGAGTGATGACTATAACTAAAAGAACTTAAAACCTTTCTTATATTGATATTTGATTATTTTTTAACCCTCATAATATATTTCTTAACACGTGGGAAAATATTTTATATTAACGTTTTTACTTATTTACCCATTTTTTTTTGAAATAAAATGTATAAAATTTTATTTTCAATTTACCTCTACAAAAATCTGTGATGACTATCCAAAGCAGACTTACAGTATAATGATCTTATTTTAATATAAAAATAAAAATATGTTAATTTCTTAATAACTAGTTGTTTAACCATTGAATTGCAAACCATCAACCTCGACTAAATTGATCTAGTTGACATTTAAATGTAAAAAGTTTAATTTGTAAAACTTGAAAATTTATTTGAAAATATATGATAATTAACTTGTAAATTTTAAATATTAAAGTATTAATATTTTAATTTTACCCAAAACAGTATTGATATTTTAATAAAATATTTTTTTAATCAATGTTGATAACTGACTAGTTAACACTGAGAAGTGGATGGTGAGTCCAAAAGTAGTTGTATTATTTTACAAAAGTAATTAATTGCAACTTAATCTTATAAGACTTGAGTTATAAAGTACATATACTTCAAATTTTTTGGCGTGTTTGTGATGCTGTCGTATCAAATATTAATGAGCATCCATACTTCTTCAATGAATATAATTATTTTTTAATTCAAAAATATTTTTAATTTTTTTATACATATTTGATATTTTTAGATCATGAGCCGATTCTTTAGAATTTATATTTAAAGCAATTTTTGGGAAAGTATAAGTTTAGATTCTTATATTTTACTCGCATTTTGCTATTAGTTCTTGTACTTTTATTTTTCATTATTTTATGATGCTTCATGAATAAAGTATAGGTATCTTGAAGGAACTTAAAACAATAAAATAAAAGTATAGAGATTAAAAATATTAAAAAAATACAGGTATCAATAACAAAATGTGAGTAAAATACAAGAACCTAAAATTATATTTTTTTTACAATTTATTTAAGAAATTTAATCTTGTTAAAGATTGTCATATTAATCTTTTTATTTCAAATATCTTTCTATGATTTTCTTTTGGAATCAAAGATTAACAGTCCTAAAAAAATTGATTTCATTTGTTTTTATTTATCTAATAACATATTTTACTATTTACTTTTAAGTATTTCACTTTTTTCCTAAATTAGTTTATCAATTTTTTAATTCTATTTCAAAATATTCTATGATATTAAAAAACTAATATTTAAAATAAAATGATTAGATTCAATTTATATATGTAGTATGTTTTATGAAATATATATATATATATATATTCAAGTATGCTAAACATATTGTATTTTATATTTTTAAAAAATAGAAGTATCAACATTTCATATATATGTGTGTGTCATATCTGATTCATATATTGTATCTGTACACCATATCTTAAGAATATTTCTAAAAATTTATGAGATATACTTGTAAGTAAGTCCCTTGATTGAGAGCCATTTATAAATTGTCTAATTTTTTTATGGTGGGGAAAGCAATACAAATGCTTACTAATTATGTGTCGAAAATTGCGGTTTGTCATTAAAAAAAAAAAAAAAAGGCTCCAAAATTCTGAAGTCTGGGCTTCTACGTTGGAAAACGTGGGCCTGACGTTCAATCCGATATATATATATGTATATATATATATATATTTGCACAGGAGGGTTGAGTCTGAAACCCTAATTTTGAGAAATTTTGTGATGGGTCGAGTGATTCGCGCTCAGCGTAAGGGTGCCGGTTCCGTCTTCAAGTCCCACACCCACCACCGAAAGGGTGCTGCTAGGTTCCGAAGCCTTGACTTCGGTGAGAGAAATGGTTATCTGAAAGGCGTAGTCACCGATGTCATCCACGATCCTGGTCGTGGTGCTCCTCTCGCCAAAGTCACTTTCCGCCACCCTTTCAGGTACAAGAAGCAGAGCGAGCTTTTCGTTGCCGCAGAAGGTATGTACACCGGCCAGTTCGTTTACTGCGGCAAGAAAGCTACCCTTGTTGTCGGCAATGTCTTGCCCCTCAGATCCATTCCCGAAGGAGCTGTTATATGCAATGTCGAGCACCATGTTGGTGACCGTGGCGTGTTCGCCAGGTCTTCCGGTGATTATGCTATTGTTGTTAGCCATAACCCCGATAACGATACATCTAGGTATACCATCTCTCAAATCACTTACACAGTTGCGCATTTTGATATAGTCTTTGTATCATTATTTGGGTCTCTTCGGATTAGAGTTGTCAAAAACTAGTTTTGGACAGAATTGGTGTTGCAAACGTGATTTTAGCTAGAATGGATTTTATTATAAGGTGACTGGTACATTGGTTGCTTGTGGGATAAGGCTTGTTGTTGTTGCATTTGTTTATTGATTCCTTAAAAATGATTTCGATGACTTGACTTTCTTCTACTGATGAGATTTCAATACTGCCCAGCTTATATGGAAATAATAAAAGCTTAAATTACAATAAGTGGTCCCACAATCACTCCAAAATTTAAATGTAACTAATACTTGTGATGTTTCTTCCTAAACAGTATTTCTTTTCTTCAAAAATCATAATCTGAAAGTAATGTCTCCCATGGAATGAACCATTATATATCCAAACTTAAATGCGAAACGCCTAGATGCCGAAACCCACTACTGAAATGCAAGGCTTTCAATTTCAAAATAGTTTCTGAATCATTCAATAGATGAACCTTCGAGATGAAACCAACAGCTTTTACTTTCCTTCTCCCCTATTCTCAGTTCTCTCCGTCTGCCTCTCGCACTGTACATTTCCAATTTGTTTTTGTGGGTTCAAAATTGAAAGAGGAGTAGAGCATTAGGCATTATATGATCCCTGCATTATATGCTTGGTGGTTTAAGAAATTGAGGGGTATCTTCCCCACTCAGTTGAACTTAGGTCCGCCGCTACTGCCTTTGTTAAGTATAATGCTTTGATGTTTAACTGGGAAGTCAAAATTACTCCGTCTGCTTGATCAGTTCTTTTATGTCAATCAAATTGTGATATTCTTTATTGCTTTGATGATTTGCTGTAAATTCTGGGGCTGGGTTCTGATAACTCTTCAATGTGATAATGTGGGGACTAACAGTATCAATTTTTCTTGAAAATTAGGTCAATTGGTGGAGAACTTTTACGTTTGCATTGTGTCAGTCTTGTCTCTAGTGATAATTATGTGGCAGTGTATTGATGTTAATGCGCTTTCCCAACAGGATCAAGCTTCCATCTGGCGCAAAGAAGATTGTTCCCAGTGGTTGTCGTGCCATGATTGGGCAGGTTGCAGGTGGAGGTAGAACTGAGAAGCCCCTTCTGAAAGCTGGTAATGCTTACCACAAGTTTAGGGTGAAGAGAAATTGCTGGCCTAAGGTACGTGGTGTGGCTATGAACCCAGTTGAGCATCCTCATGGAGGAGGTAACCACCAGCACATTGGACATGCAAGCACTGTTAGGCGTGACGCTCCTCCTGGGCAGAAGGTTGGTCTTATTGCGGCCAAGAGGACCGGTCGTCTTAGAGGACAAGCTGCAGCCACTGCTGCTAAAGCTGACAAGACTGCCTAGAGAGATTGTTAAATTTTTTATTTATTGTGTTTTCCGATCTTTTATTAGATTTTGATTTCATGACTACTGGAAGAAATTCCCTTTCCTTTCAGATAAGGAGCCATCCATTGACAGGTTTTACATGTTTTCTTAGGAGTAATTGTCTGGGTGTTAGAAATTTTTCTAGTTTGATGATTTTTTTTTTGGTCTCTGTTCTTGTTCTTTTTTAAGCTTGGTCGAGTAATGCCCCTTCAGTTTGACTTTTACGTAGGGGTTGAAACTCAATCCCTTCAGTCTAAGGCAGTGTTTGAGAGTTTTTTTCGGATGGGATGAAATGGGTTGAGGTGCATAAAAGTTTTGTATCCCAATTTGGGGTCAAGAATGGGATGGGTTGGTATAAATAATATTGTTACAAAATTATCTTATCATTTTGGCGTCCTCACTTTTTCACTTTTCTAAAGAATGATTTGTTCTAGGCATAATAAGGTTCCCAAGTATATTCTGAAAAATTCGTGTATGTTTTGTTCTGGGCAGAATGAACTTTAAGATTCTCTCAAGTGTTTTTTAAAAAATACCTTCACCGTTAGTGACGTTCGACGCCTCTTCTCTGCTAACGCCACGGCAACCACATGCTAGCGTCAACCTCGGAATTCTCCATTGGATGCTTGTTGCTGGGATTTGGATCTATGGCTTATATATATATATATATATATGAATATATATTATGAATAAAGATGAAGAAGAAAGTAGGAAGGAATGGCAGCCACGGTGATAATCGGGACAAGTCGAAGGTGGGTGCTGCGGGTCACCAGTGGATTGCGGGAAAGATTTGAAGGAATTTCTAAATCATTACAGTAACATTTTTATTTAATATATTATTCTAACATTTTTATTTAATATATTATTCAATAAGTCCATATATTTGACATCCAACCTTTTCCTTCAGAGTGAATTAAGGGGAATGGGAAGTAGTAGTCCCAATATTTATCCTTTTTCTTGAATTAAAGGGGGCGAGCTAAGCTTGTAAAAGGATATCTTTATAGTACAAAAGATTTAACTCCTTTCATCTATAATGGAATCAAAGCATGTAATAAAAGTGCAATTGTGACCACTTTTAGCAATGAGATCCGCAACAGGCGAGGCTTTCTTAGTGAGTGTGATGGAGTTTGAAATCATGCAGTTTAAATGACATCCCAGAGGGGGTGATCAGGATGACCATCTCGGAGTAAGGGGTTCATGGCATTGAGAGATTCAGTAAACATCTGGACAAGGAGACAGGTCTATTATTTTCCCTCCACTTTCCCAATCTTCATCCTTCATTAATTTTATAATTTTAAAAAAAATTATTTAATAAAATAATATAAATGATGAAGATTGGAGTAGTAGAGAGAAAAGGAGGGGGAAAAAAGGGAGACCCCCTGCCCCGAAACAGCGGCGTCTCAGTGGAGGTGACCAACATGTGTCTTCTCTGCTTCTAAGTTGAATGTCTTGCTCCTTGAACTTGCTGAAATAACTGTCTTCCATTAAATTATGCAGATATAGGCTTCTGACATGGTGGGGATTTGGGTTCTTCCCTTCAAAGCTGAGTTTGCATCTTGATGTCCATAGCAAACAGCAAGTTGTGCTAACTACTTTGCGCCAGGGCTATTTGTTGAGTCGGCTTGAGTACCTTGTCTGTGGTAGATTTTGGCAAGTTGTGCCAAATGCTTTGAAATCAATCATTTGTAATGATTATAGATGTATTTAAGGTTATTTGTTTGTTAAAAAGAAACTAAATGAAATGAAACGATGGACGATAAAATGGAGTAAAATAAAATGATGGACTGATAAAAAAAAAATTGAGAATGATAGAGAAAAGAGAGTAATAGAGTGATAGAGGTAAGAATGGAGGTTGTTACAACAATAACAAAAAAAAAAACCTTATTTTACTAAGTAATGTCACTTACATGGATTGCATAATACTATTGTGTTCTATTATTTATTAAGCTTCTAAAAATATTATCAACTAAGATGTCTCAATTAACAACTTTCATAAGTGTTCTCTTTAACTTTCGTCTATCTCTTTTAGTAGGGTTTAAAATTATCCATTTCCTTTTCCACATTAGTGCCTTTCACAGTCTTCATTGTACATGTCTAAACAATCTTAAATGATTTACTAAAATTTTTTCCTTAATAGATGCTATGCCTACATTTTCTCATAATATATGAACTTTTTCATTTAAGATATAATCTAATCTTTCAATTTCACTTTCAAATTACTACTAACTAATCTTATATCAAAATTACAATGTAAATATTCTATCTTGCTCCTACTTAGACAAAACTATTTTGGCTCCAATGTCCTCCTTCATAACTCAAGTTTATAGTTAATTGTTTTCTTTTATCTTTACAATAAGAACTATATTATTCACAAAAAGTATGCATTTGAGAATTTTCTCTTGAATATACTCAGTCAAAACATCTAGGACCAGGTCAAACAAATAACAACTCAAAGATGATTTTTGATGTAGTGCAATCCTTAGAGGAAAGTCCTTTATTTCACCATCAGACGTTCTTATATTAGTTGTTGCTCTGGCCTCGTACATATATTATTGTATAGCTCTAATATAGGTAACCCGGACTCCTTTCTATTCCAAGGCTTTCCAAAGTATTTTTTTTGATACATGATTATAAACTTTTTCAAATTAATGAAAACCATGTGTAAATTTTTACAATTGCATTGATACTTGTCCATTAATCCCTTTAGTAGATAATTTACTTTTATAGTCACCCTACCTAGGATGAAGCCAAATTGATTCTCAAAAATATTAGTTTTCAATTTCAATCACTACTATAAAAAGAACCTTTCGAAGTGCATCTTTCAAAGCATTTATGTAAAATAACGCTACTAAAAATGAAGGCAAAAACTGCCAAAGCATTTATAACGCTTATATTAAAAAGTGCTCTTGTAAGTTACTATTTAGGAGTGCTCGTTTAAATGAGCGCTCCTAAATATGTAAATAAAAAATATTAAAAACCCCTAGATGCCATGATGCAAGTGCCATATGTTGTGGCACATTGCATGAAATGTGGCAGCAACTTTGCTATCATGAGATAGCTTTGGAGGCAAACTTTCAATGTACCTCATTTCTCCATCTGACGTTCAATTGATGTAATCTATGTATCTATAAAGAGCTTTCTCCTAACCTTAGCTAATGGTATTGATTCCACAATCAATTTATTTTTTAATCAAAAGTTGGATACCCATTTCAAAACTCACTCATTTTTAATCTTATGACACAACTTAAGTACCCAATCCACAATTCAAGTGCCAATAGCTTATACCAACCTTAAAACCATACCACAGCCAACTAATCTAATATATGTCATCTTTTCAACACTCAACCCTTTAATGAAAAAAACATAAAGGGAAACCAAATTCTCATAGATTCACATTTAAATCATCATATTCATTTGTTTACTTAATTCCTTACTTACATTAGTATTTTGGCCCTATTTAAACTTTACAATCACATAACATATAGCCTAGGGCACAAAATATACATTTAAATCAAATTCGCAAGTAGTGCAAGTAGTCAAAACTATATGAACTACTAGTTGGCAAATTATCTACAAATACACATAATAAGCAAACTATAAGGCCTACTATTAGGATTTACATAGAATCCTATGCCTTTGGTCATTTTCCTTGATCCTAATCTAATAATCTAGTCCCTATAATAATGAAGAATGAGAGATGAGTACAATGACTTAGCAACCAAAGTTAATCTTGTCCATAGAGTTGCATATCAATTAACTATAGATGCAAATGGCAATAATAATCTGTTCATAAATTTTGTAAGATTTTCAAAAAGTTTCCCTAATCATAATACTAACAATCATGTGGTTGGGCACCATATTTATCATCTGAACACATACAAACACAAATGCAGAAGCGAGGTTACAATAATAACAACCATGCATCATCATCAATCTTATACCCTCTTCATTCATCTGATATGATATTGGTGGTTATTTAATGGTTGCGTCCAAACTCAAACTAACCAAACCTTCCACTTGTGAGGACTTTCTTGGCCAAGGCTACCTCACTCACTTATGATCCATAATTTTTTCCAATACTAATAACTATGGGGTGTCATACATCTAATCTAGCTTTTTCACAAATTGGCGGTGACTAGTTAGGCTCAAGTCTCTTAAAAAACAAGTAGGACAGTTTCTAATAAACTATGAGACAATGGTTACCTCACGATTCCTACTAAACCATGAGGACTTGCTTGACCAAAGCTACCTCACTCCCTTGTGATCCATGATTTCCTTTAATACTAATAACTATGGGGTGTCGTACCCTAAATTTAGCTTCTTCATGAATTGGTGAAGACTAGTTAAGTCTAAGTCCCTTAAAGAATAAGTAGGACAGTTCCTATTAAACCATGAGACAATAGCTACCTTACGATTCTAATGGTCGACAGCCATCTAACTTCTAATTCTAATGATAAGTCATCATTACCATCTGGATTTAACACAACTCCTCTCCCTAGGCGAAACTCTTACCCTAATGATCATGTCATGCATAAGAATAAATACATATCATGCATATTCATATTCATTACTAGCATGCAAATCATTTTCACTTCTAGACACTCAATACTATCACACATTTAGTCATACAACACACACATGTCCATTTCCAATTTCCTTTTCTTTGCTCATGCATGTACATAGATACACATCTTTTTTGATCATCTCACTAACATAAATTTACACATATCATAAAGACTTGCCAAAACTTGCATCAAATATAAATTTACAACCATTAATGAATTTGTAAACATTGTATTTTGTCCGAGCTTCTAGATGTAAATTAAAAATAAATAAAAATTTTAATAAATTTGAGTAAAATAAATAAGGAAAAATAAGATTTTATAAAAAAATTAATAAAAGGAAATAATATCTTTATAATTTTAAAGAAATTTTTTTCCTTTTTTGTCGCCTCAAATCCCCACAATTATGGTCTTTTCAAATTAAATGTACTAATTTGAATCTAAAATAATGAAGAAAAGTCAAAATAGGATTTGCCTTAATATGCTTGATTTTGTTTTTAAGAGGAAAAACCCTAGTTAGTGCCTATAAAAGGGATAACAAAGAAGAAGAGAGGGGACCGAACAATGGAGTAAAAATAGAGGATTTTGAGAGAAAAATTGGAAGTGAGATGAAAAGAGAGAAAGAGAAAAATTGAGGTCAAACAATAAAGGTGCAAAGGTATAAAATAGAGGATTTTCAAGCCTTTTATTTTTGTTCATGAGATCATGGTATAAAGTAAAGCATGATAGTCTCAAGCTGCACAACTTATAAAACTATGAATTTCCTTCCAAGTCTAACCAATAGAATAGTGCCTTTTGTTTTGATGGTGTTTGTATTGAAAATCATA